TTAAAATGTCCCCGTAAGGCCACACAGGAATGATTGAGATTACCAATGTGAATCCCAATTTAGCTTCGGACTTTTTGTTCCTACCCCGAGATCCCAGGGGTCCAATGTTTGACGTTTCATTAAATCCCTACTCCGAAGTTAGCTGGATCAAAGTTAGAACACGCGCGCAATACCGCTGGTAGTTGTTATAACGAGTTTCTTTTCGGGTATACATTCTACTTGGGGTAGTTATACAAGCAAGAGGGATAATGGAGGAACCTGAGCAGTACATTAGAGTTTCTATAAATTGTCAGAGGTCCTTTGAACCCCGCAGTAGAGCAGGGATATTTTATAGTAATCTAACTGAACTTTTAGCATTAAGTCAAAAGTAGCGCCTTAATCCGGTAAACGACTTTAAGTAAAACTGTTATTTAAATAGAAACGTACTTAACACTTCTAACATTCATATATAGAGTTAGCTTGGGTTCTTCACTCAACAGTGTGATAAAATAATTTCGATAAGTGTAAAGACGCTCCACTCACGTGACTGTTGTATCATAGAACTTTACCATATATATATATATATAGAAAATATTATGGTTAAATAGACAATGTAAACAGTAATGATAATATCGGTTAATGAAAAAAGAGGGGGCTTTGTTTTGTTAGGGTAAAATACAGCTAACTATCTTAAAACGTTTTCATGCCTTCATTTTGCTGACAATTTGATTAAAAGAATCTGATTCCACGTAGTTGTCATATTAAACTTAACAATGTGCGACAGTCTGTTTCCAACTAGTTGTTATATTAGTCTGCTAATAACATGGTATGATTAAGATAGTCTGTTTCCAAGGGGTTGTCATATTAGTCTGTTAATAACATGGTTTGATTAAGACAGTTTGTTTCCAAGGGTTGTCATATTAGTCTGTTAATAACGTAGTTTCATTAAGACAGTCTGTTTCCAATTGGTTGTTATATTAGTTTGCTAATAACGGGTTTGATTAACACAGTCTGTTTCCAAAGGGGTTGTCATATTAGTCTGTTAATAACGTAGTTTTATTAAGACAGTCTGTTTCCAATTAGTTGTTATATTAGTCTGTTAATAACATGGTTTGATTAAGACAGTCTGTTTCCAATTACTTGTCATATTAGTCTGTTAATAACATGGTTTGATTAAGATAGTCTGTTTCCAAGGGGTTGTCATATTAGTCTGTCAATAACGTAGTTTCATTAAGACAGTCTGTTTTGACTTAGTTGTCCTACTAGTATGTTAATAATATAGATAGAATAAGACAGTTGTTTCCAATTTGTTTTCATATTAGTCTGTTAATAACGTGGTTTGATTAAGATAGTCTAATTCCACTTAATTATCATATTAAACTTAATAATATAGATTGAATAAGACAGTCTGTTTCCAAGGGGTTGTCATATTAGTCTGTTAATAACGTGGTTTGATTAAGGCTTCGAACTTTCTACAAACTACGCGACTCTATAATGTAACAATACTCATTTAATGTAACGAGAAAAATACCGAAGATTCGAGTAACTTGGCGTCAACAATACTACAACAGTTGAACCACACACACACAAAGTACGACTCTTACCGAGTTACGCAACCAAACTTGTCATTACTATTGCCTTTAACATAATTACTTTTAACTCTCTTGTTATGAAAAGTAAATAACCATTAAATTTTAAGTTACTAAATAAACTAAGTAATAAGGCTTACACTAAACAGTCCTGCATATTCAACATTTGGGTCACGAAGTTATATATTTATTACTTAACCTTTCTTAATTCTGACTTGATATTTGTGTCCAGAAGTTTTTTTTTATCACCTAATTACCATTAATTCTGATCTTGTTTTTTTTATTCTAGAAGTTTTCTATTCATTACTTAATCTTCTTTAATCCTAACCCTGTATTTGAGTCTAAAACGTTCCCTAATCTTACTTAATCTTAGATAGCTCTGGTCGTTTTCTTGTGTCTTAATTGTTCATGCTTTTATGACTCTTCCTGATTTTCTGAATCAGGATATTTCTTTGAAATCTAACTTGTTCCTAGTTCAGAGCTATTGTAGTTTTTATGTTCAAAATATTTTATTTATTATTTAATCTTCATTAATTTCTCTTTGTGATTGTAGTTACAAAATAGTTCTTAAAATTTAATTTCCTGAACTCAGAACTTGTGTTTGTATTCATAATTTTTACTTCTTACTTAATATTCTTTAATCTGACCTCTGAGTCCAGAGTTTACCTATTTATGACCGAAATAGTAAACTGTAATGCTAAACCACAACCGCTACTTTAGTCAACAATGTTATGTCTACGCTACTTTAGTCAACAATGTTACGTCTACACTACTTTAGTCAACAACGTTAAGTCTACACTACTTTAGTCAACAATGTTACGTCTACACTACTTTAGTCAACAATGTTACGTCTACACTACTTTAGTCAACAACGTTACGTCTACGCTACTTTAGTCAACAACGTTAAGTCTACACTACTTTAGTCAACAATGTTACGTCTGCGCTACTTTAGTCAAAAACGTTAAGTCTACCCTTGTGTTCAGTCAGCGAGATGCCCGCGACGTTAAGTTTACCCTAGTCTTCAGTCAGCAGGATGCCACGACGTTAAGTCTACTCTAGCCTTCAGTCAGCAAGATGCCGCGACGTTAAGTCTACCCTAGCCTTCAGTCAGCAAGATGCCACGACATTAAGTCTACCCTAGTCTTCAGTCAGCAGGATGCCGCGACGTTAAGTCTACCCTAGTCTTCAGTCAGCGAGATGCCACGACGTTAAGTCTACTCTAGCCTTCAGTCAGCAAGATGCCACGACATTAAGTCTACCCTACTCTTCAGGCAGCGAGATGCCGCAACATTGCAGTAAAACTCGCTCTAAATGTCTACAAATTTACAGAGTCGATTTATCCTCACCAAGGTAGACTTTGCTACATTTAAACCAAATGACAGATTTCAGATAAAAGAAAAATAACAGTTTTTTTCCAACTGAGACAAATAAGGTGAAAAAACGTTATTTTTGAATTTTATTATTTTTCCTTCAACAAATACAACTTGTCTTCTGTCTGGTCGAACTTACACAAGAACAACGAAATTCTCAGGATAATCCTGAGTCAGTTGATCAGTCTTATGTTTTGATTCTGCTGGTAAATATAACTGGATTAGCAGTGATTGTTTCTATGCTGTCGCAATATAGAAGGCGTGCAAGTAAAAACCGACCTTATACAGTAGGCGTGTCCTAACATTAGGCTGCTCGGATTGTAAATTGAAGGATTTATGGTTCCCCTCCTACTGTCACAAAAATCACTCAACATTTTGAGGCTGTTGGCCGATCATACAAAAGCATCCTAGGAGTTGGCTGTGGATTTTTTCTGATAAGTTACCTTTCCTGTCGATCATACAAAAGCAGCCTAGGAGTTGGCTGTGGATTTTTTCTGATAAGTTACCTTTCCTGTCGATCATACAAAAGCATCCTAGGAGTTGGCTGTGGATTTTTTCCGATAAGTTACTTTTCTTCTGCAAGCTCATAATTAGGGACTATTATCCTAGATTATATAAAGATATCCCATGTTTAACTGCGCGCCAAAACTCTAAAACCAGCATATATTTGACTGAAACTAGCAGGGAATTGTAAGCCCCTGAACAACTCCCGGGTACCCTTGTTCTTTTTTCAGCTTAACCAGAAATGAAGCCTTAAAGCGATTGAAAATAAATCGTAAATCTTTATATAAGTTTTGTTTTAATTCCTTAATCACATTGTATATTATTCCAATGATTGAAATACCAAATCTAAACGGTTGAAAAACACGTAAAACACGACAAACTTGTAAATACAAAGTAAATATGTTGGGATTACGTTGTGGTTATATCTGAACTGGAATACGTTGTGATTACGTTGTGGTCATATCTGAACTGGAATATGTTGTGATTACATTATGTTCATAACTGAACTGGAATACGTTGTGATTACGTTGTGGTCATATCTGAACTGGAATATGTTGTGATTACGTTGTGGTCATATCTGAACTGGAATATGTTGTGATTACGTTATGGTCATAACTGAACTGGAATATGTTGTGATTACGTTGTGGTCATATCTGAATTGGAATATGTTGTGATTACATTATGTTCATAACTGAACTGGAATATGTTGTGATTACGTTGTGGTCTTAACTGAACTGGAATATGTTGTGATTACGTTGTGGTCTTAACTGAACTGGAATATGTTGTGATTACATTATGTTCATAACTGAACTGGAATATGTTGTGATTACATTATGTTCATAACTAAACTGGGATATATTGTGATTACGTCGTGGTTATATTTGAACTGGACGCGAAGAAACATTTGAGCTATTGGTTTGATGTGGTGTTTTTAGCTTCCTGTCTTCTAATTACCATCCTCTGGAGTACTGTTTTTTTCTTTGTTTTCTAATAATTGGGTATGATGATCATACTTATTAAGTGACAAATCCAAGTTATAATATTTGATATTTAGTACTTTCTTTTATGGTTCAGTTTCGACGTGGACAATGGCAACTCCCAGAATAGGACTCTTTTGGACGGAACAAGTCCGTCTTCAGGTCTGGTTCTACAAACCATGCCACAGCGAAGAGAATCCTTCTTATACCGATCAGACAACGAATTTGAGACGTCCTCCAAGTCAATGTCTCGTCACTCGTCAATCGGAAGTGAGCCGTAAGTAACGTTTTCACACCCTTTGTTGGAATCAACAGGTGCGTTTCTAAAACAAATCTGTCATAAAAATCAATGAAATACAGCAGGTAATGTGGTATACATCAAGTTCATGTATTTATTTGTCGTTGTATTTACTTGTACTAGCATTTAATGATTTTATAAACATTACTCGTAATGAGAACTTAAAACTTGATTTAACCCAAACAAGTAACATTGATTACGTCACGCCAAAGAATAGAACAACAAACGAGTAACATTGATTACATCACGCCAAACAGTAGCACAACAAACGAGTAGCACTGATTACATCACGCCAAACAGTAGCACAACAAACGAGTAGCACTGATTACATCACGCCAAAGAATAGAACAGAAAACAGTAACATTGAATACGTCACGCCAAAGAATAGAACAAAAACCAATAATATTGATTGCATCACGCCAAACAGTAGAACAACAAACGAGTAACATTGATTACATCACGCCAAACAATAGAACAACAAACGAGTAGCACTGATTATATCACGCCAAACAATAGAACAACAAACGAGTAGCACTGATTACGTCACGCAAAGCAGTAATACAACAAACAAGTAACATTGATTATATCACGCTAAACAGTAGAACAACAAACGAGTAGCACTGATTACATCACGTCAAAGAGTAGAACAACAAATGAGTAACATTGATTATATCACGCTAAACAGGAGAACAACAAACGAGTAGCATTGATTGCATCACGTCAAACAGTAGAACAACAAACGAGTAACATTGATTACGTCACGCCAAAGAATAAAACAAAAATAAGTAACATTGATTGCATCACGCAAAGCAGTAAAACAACAAACAAGTAACATTGATTGCATCACGCAAAGCAGTAAAACAACAAACAAGTAACATTGATTGCATCACGCAAAGCAGTAAAACAACAAAAGAGTAACATGGGAAGACCACAGATAGCCCAATTGTGTAGCTTTGTGCTTAACTTGAAACAAACAAACATTAGAGCACGTTAATAAGTAGGCCTATCAATTACCGTTCTTAATTTGTTTAAAGAGATTAATCTTATATTATGGTGGCAATGATCATTAAACTGAAAAAGTGCAAAATAGTAATTCAAGCATTGAATTTACATTATAGCGGCCATGTTAACTGGTACAATCGATCCACGGGTTTGTTAGTGCCTTAATGAGAGGCAGTTGAACTAAGTATGAGATGTTAACAATGTTCATTAAGGGAGCCCAAGTTTTTAGTGGATTTTTAAAACTTAACCCTAAAGGTGAATGTATGTTACCCTTAGCTTATTAATGCTTCGTATCTATATCTGTATTTCTATCCCTTATCTAACTACTCCTAGTAGTTAATAATGGCTGGAGACGGCTTGAATGGGTTATGCTGTTATGTTAAACTTATATTCAAGTTTTTCTTCATTACCCATTCAAGCCGTCTCCAGCCATTATTAACTACTCCTAGGTCGCTGGGCCAATCTCAAATGAAATTTGTGGGATGATAGTTTGGAAGAAGGGACATGTTAATGGGGGTGGGGTTGATCACGATACCTCCTTCAACCTCCCTCCCCCATTATTGCTGTTGTTGAGCATTTATTATCTTTGACATAAGTTAACATTCATAGATGGCGCCACGTCCTTACACAACAAAATTCTTTATTAAATTTTTCTATAGCACAACATATACACAGTGTGGGGGAATCTATACAAACGTTTTGTATATCTTAGAAAGTGCGCTGGCACTTTCTAAGGAGGAATGCAATGAAAAAAGTGACTGCCACTAGTGCAATAATGCATAAACTTAGCTGAAATTTCTACTTCAAGAACCATAATAAGGCTGATATGAATAGCCGTTTCTTAACTTATACCCACTTCCTACTTTGACCCATGACCTTTCAACTTTAGCCCGTAAGACACTTGTTCGGCCAATGACCATAAATTGATTAATTACGTGAAACACTGTGGAAAGACATTAAGAGTTGGATGTTAAAAGCGGGTAGCAGAAAGCACATCTACCGCCACTACTGTGGTCATTACCTCTTCCTACAAGATCACCCAGCCCATCGCGCAGTGTATATCATGTGTTAAGTATATACATATCGAGTTATTAAAGTTTATACGCAACTTTTGGTGAGGCAATAATGAATAGTGTAATATGTTATGTTATAAATAAATTTTGTGAAAGTTGGGATTTTTGTGTCATTTATCATAGCATCCACCCCCACATTTTTTTTTTTTTTTAGTTTATAATCCGGACAAAGGACGGGTACATCAGCTTGTGTTATATAATCCACAGTAATATTTCTCCATCAGCCATTATTGTTTAATCCATAGTAAAATTCCTTAATTATGGCATTGTTTTTAATCTACAGCGATAGTCTTTAACCGAACATTGTTGTTTAATCCGTATTAATATTCCTTAATCAACCATTGTTGTTTCATTCATAGCAATATTTTAAAGTAGCGTTTAGCTGGTATTTAATCCCTATTTCATAATAGAGCATAGTTCTTAATCTCCAGAAATAGTCTTTTATCGGACATATTTGCTTAATCGACATTTATATACCTTAATCAGACATTGTTGTTTAATCCACAGTAATATTTTTTAATCGTATCTTGTTATTTATTCACAGTAATATGTCATAATCAGGCATTGTTTTTAATCCGCATTAATATTATTTAACGAGACATTATTGTTTATATCCACAATAATATTCCTTAGTCAGACATTGTTTTTAATCCACAGCAATATTCCTTAATGAGGATTTATCTTTTATTTAATCATTAGTAATATTCCTTAATCGGGCATTTATTTAATCCATAATAATATTTCTTAATTAGGCATTCGTTTTTAATTTACAGCAGTAGTATTTAATCGGGCATAGTTGTTTAATTCCAGTAATATTCCTTAATCAGGCTTTGTTATTTAATCCATAATAATTTTCTTTAATTAGACATTAGTGTTTATTAAACAGAAAGTTTCTTTAATTAGATGTTCCAAATTTTTGTTTCCTACCAAATATATGTTGTCGTATGCTGAAGAGTATTTTGACTATTATTTAATCTACAGTAATATTCTTTAACTATTGTTGTTTAATCCACAGTTATCTTTCTTAATCATACACTTCAGGTTTGTTATGCTTGTACTACGTTTCGGTCTCCATGCTGAAGCCTTAGCGTAGAAATCGAAACGACGTTAATTCCTACACTACACGCACATACAATTAATAAAAACTCCATGTCCGGTACAATCCACTCAGTCTAAAACTAATTTAAAATAAGATCCTATACGAAATGAAAACAGATTTAAGTATCTTAAGTTTGTAATCACTGTCATTGAGGACTAGATGAGGTTCTTCACTTTTACATTTGAACAGTCAGTCGTCTTTAACATTATTTGTTTAGGTTTTAGGTGGTTTGAGTCTCAGAATAATCTCAATCTTTAACAACAATTATTTAATCCTAAAATTGGGAGTCGATCGTACATAAATTAATTGTTGTTGTGGTAAAGAATAAAATGTATAGACTGTTTTGGTCATCACAATATCCGGAAAACAACAAAGATACAAGCTGTTTCGGTCATCACAATATCCGGAAAACAACAAAAGATACAAGCTGTTTTGGTCATCACAATATCCGGCAAACAACAAAAGATACAAGCTGTTTTGGTCATCACAATATCCAGAAAACAACAAAAGATACAAGCTGTTTTGGTCATCACAATATCCAGAAAACAACAAAAGATACAAGTTTTTTTTTTTTCATAACAATACCCGGAAAACAACAAAAGATACAAGCTGTTTTGGTCATCACAATATCCAGAAAACAACAAAAGATACAAGCTGTTTTGGTCATCACAATATCCGGAAAACAACGAAAGATACAAGCTGTTT